TTAAATATAATCTACAACTTTGAACGGATCTTACAAGATGAGAATCAGCTTTTTCACAATTATTAATTTCATAAAAAATTTTATCGATAAAATTTGCAAGATCATCTGCTGTAAAACTTGGAGCCTTTTGTTCACATTGTGAAACTGCAAATGCCTTTCCTTCCGCTTCTAATTCTGGATAAACATCATAAAAACTATCACCTCGTTTGCCACCTCGTCCATCAGTAACAAATTCATCAAATTTTCCATTTATAAACAAATTAGACCATTTATGAGCTACCTCCTCTGTTAAACCACCAATATCTTTAAGAAATATATCTGTTTCTTGATACGAAATATTAAAACGACGTAATGTTAAATAAATAAAAACACTTAAATATCTAATATTACATTGATTCTTGCAAAGTTCAAATATATCAGCTATATCACAAAGCTTAATTCTGTCGTTGAAATTCAAATGATTTACACCTCCTTCATCTTCATCACTTATGTCCATCGAAAAACTACTATCATCACTTGATGCATCCTTAGATTCATTTGACCAACGTATTTTATAAGCATTTAACAAATGAGTTTTTCGCTTTGACGTATGAGGCATTTATCCAGAGGAAAACTTATATCCGACACTAAATTAGATAATATTTGGTCAAAACCTATATTCCAATTATTCGAGAAATTACATGGCTAATCTAAATAATGAACGAGTGTCCTCCATATATTTCAAATGGATGTCGCTAAAATGCATTTCCGAACAATGAATTCGATTCACAAACAATTCGTAGATTATTAATGAGTGGAATATAAAACTGCTATATGCTCTTACACAATGATTAGCTTTCCATACATAACAGTCAACATTTTTCACCAAACACAATCACGAAAAAGCTCTATATGATTGATAAATATTGTAGAAAGCATTTCTATTGAAACCGCGTTACTTTTTAACTATGAATATTCAATATTAAAACATACTTAATTGATAATACTTCACTAGAGAAAAAAATCACGTTCTCTTATACCGATTGTTTCAGGAAAAACGATCTTTCTCAACTATGGAATGAGAGAAAAAAAAGCGATACATAGATTTTTTACCTATCATGTGACGAGTCGAATGACATAGGATTACAGAGCATATGATGAATCTAGCGAGAGTGGATGCGTTTTTGGCGTGGTGACATGTAAAGATGAGAAATGTTGTACTATTCTGAACAATTGCTTAGCCTTGTCCATCCATATCACATATAATCGCTTCGAGTCATATATCATTAGATGCAATTTTTCACGCTGCATCTAATGAGAATATTTTCGAATCTCTTTGTTAGAGAAAAAAATTATAAAAGTTGAATTTATTGAAAATTTGAGTATTTTTCTTCTATATTCAGTCACAAGCATTTTTTTGAAATTTTCGTCCCAAAAATGGGTTAAATATTTTTTTATACATACAGTTTTGTAGAGCTCGACGAGCTCTATCGAACCATGCAAAAATATTTAAAAAAAATGTTTTACTCGATTTTTAAATTAGCTGCACGTTACAAATGAACATAAGCTCGACAGTTTGGGCATAAGGGCCAGACTCATTATTCTTAATCGACTGATTCATTTTTTATCAGTAATCATAGGGCACTCATAAATAAATGGATGGAATCAGAATTCGATGGAATAGTCTATCAGAATGATCAGTATAGACCATTTCATAGGCATTGTATGGGCTAACAGATCGTTTCTATTGAGGATAGTTTTTCTCTGATGGATGATAAACATACTGTCTGGTATCTATTAATTTATGTTGATCTTCATTGATTAGCATATGTTTCTTGTGATTCCCATTAGTGGTCTGTCATTGCTAACACTAGTTTTATTGGAATCAACTGTTTCCGACTGCGGTTTGACTCAGTTTGGATTTGGTGCCTCCCACATAAAAGCTTCAGATTTTCGGTGTCGAAATCTGTGTAATTCCGTCAAGCGTTAGTGTCAATTTCGCTCGGGTTCTCAAGCTCCATCCGTTACTACTACTAGTACATCCAACTTTTAAAGAATTTCCAAGATTTGAGAGGGTTTCAATAAAATTTCGTATTTTTTTTTCGTGTTTTCGTCAAACATCGTCAGATCCTAGGATTTTTTAAATGTTCGATAGCTTCTAGGAGCATTATCAACTAGAGCGAAAAAAAAAGCTGAATGAAACTGAGACAAAATTTTGATTCTGTTTGACACATTTTGATGCCGAAAGTCTAGATGTTTTATGGAAAATAGATCAGAGACAAACCCAATCGAACACAGTCGAACCCAGAGCAAATATCGAATACGCATATCACCGGTTTTGTGCATTCCCACTGGCATCCGCAACTAGGGTGTGGGTGCGAGTGTGGGTGTCGTGTGAAAGTTATTTCGAAGAGACACCCACACCCACACCCACACCCACCAACACCCACACAAAAATTCTATACTAATAACTACAGAGTGTGCAAGAAATAACTTACCTAAAAGAAAATCGTTCATCTCCACTCGAATTCAATGAATTGGTCTGATTTTTTAGTTAGTAATAGAACTTCATTCAAAGTTTTTTGTATATAGATGACGTACACAAATACTACTATTAAGTATTATTATTGATCTCAATAAAGAAATTTTATCTATTATCGAGTGAGAACAATATATGGAAACAGTACCATAGATAATTTTCAGTTACTACCTTAGAGAATCACAAGAAGAAATCAAAATAAACTTTATGAATAATGTAATATTGGAGGAAGTAGTGCAAACTTCCAAAAATAGTTAGTTTGAATGTCAAAATTCGTGTGTGAGAATTAAAATGCATGATTAAAACCCATTGAGTAGTGACTATCCAATTTTCTTACAAAAGCCATTGTTTCATGCTTGAAAATTCGAAATATTGGAATTATTGGGTTTTAAACTAACTATTTTTGAAAGTTTGCTCTATTTGCACCAATAATACATTACTCATAAAGATTACTTTGATTTCTTCTTGTGATTCTCTAAGGTGATAACTGAAAATTATCTATGACACTATTTCCATTTATTTTTCTTATTCAATAATAGACAAAGTTTCTTTATTGCGGTTAATAATAATACTTAATAGTAGTATTTGTATATGTAATCTCTATGGAAAAAACTTTGAATGAAGGTGTACTACTAACCAAAAGGTCAGACCATTTCAATGAACTCGAGTGGAGATAAGCGACTTTCTTTTTGATAGGTTATTTCTGGAACATCCCATAGGTTAAAATTAGTAATACGTAAAAAAATGAATAAAAAAATTTAAAAAATTGTTTTTTATTTGATGCATATGTCCTCAGAACATTGAATTCTAACCGATTTGTATCAAAAATAATTATTCGATGTGTGTTTCATTAATTTTCACAATCAACCTAAAAAAAACTGTATTAATCTAGAAAAATGTTGTATCTAAAATTTAGGAAATGAAATTGAACGAACTATCGCTTATATATTTAAATCAATATTTAATCTTATTCAATAAATGAACAGTTGAAAATGGAAAGTCGTTTTTGTATTTCTAGAGCAACCGTTCATTGAACTCATGTCGCTGAAACCGGTATAAAACCGCCGGTTAACCACGGTTAACCGGCGTTTCTTTTCCATGATATATTTTTATTTTTCACTCGATGAATATTTTTTAACTCTTACAAAAATATCAGATTTGAGTCGAAATCGTGCTTCCCTATACTTGTAAACGCGCTAAAGCCGTTGGTACTAACCACATCGGCTAATTTTGCTGAATTTACGAGTTCAAATATTTCCTTAAAGATGCCGCTGGAAAAATGACTATAAGTTAGAGCATTAGCCAATAGAAAAAATTGGACTGTCATCTAAAATAATATACTAAAAGAGACTTAAATCGATTTTTTCGAGTAGAAAATCATTTCCCTTGAAAGATTAATACCGACTTTATCAAGAAATGGGTCGAAAACTGATTAAAAACAAATAAACCGGTCGAACCGTCGGTTTCTTCACGAACCACGGTCAACCGGCGGTTTTAGTAAAAAAGAAGCGACATGGGAAGTCATACGAATGACTAATATCAGAAAAGAATGGAGGATAAAAAGATAAGTTGTTAAAATAAATCGTTTCTAATAGTTGTATTTAATTACATAATTTTTCTTTACATATTAGTGCATTAATGTTTTGTTAAAGATTCTGGAAAAAACGAAGACGAGTACTACATCGAGTACTCATGTATTTGTCTGGCGGGTAAATCTTAAAGAACCAAGTCATATGAGTACTCGCTGTAGTACACGAGAAAGTATAAATACACATAAAAATGCTCGAGTACTCATACGAGTAATTCAAGTACCAAACAGGACAAGTCCTACTCGCTTGATGACAAATTTCACTAGGGAGTATAGTTTAAATTAACTTTTATTTGATAAAAATGTCAAAATAAAATAATATCTCCTTCAGTTCAGTCACTTAATCACTTAAAATTAATGAATTAAGTGGTTAAGTGAAAAACATAATTTTAATATTAAGCGTTAATTGAAACACCTGATTAAGTTTTTTAATTGAGTCCCGCTAAAAAAATGGTCCATCCCTAGTGGTAATCGCTCTTCGTTGGAATTTTGCTTATAAAACATTAGATAGAATTTTCTATAAACCACATTAACTAATAACACTAGGTTTTACCTGTGCATATTTTCTTATTTAGTATTCTAAAGGTGATTAATATTGTGAAAAAGGAGATGACAAAAGACCGTTCATTTAAACTGCACTTCGGTTAAATCTTTTCAATGCATATTTTATTAGGAATCAAAGAAGAAGAATCAACAGTTGTGAACTTCAACGCATCTGAATCATTCGATAATGGCAACAAGTATAGGTTACTATGGACAATTTTACTTTATTGTTGGGTTCGTTGGATTTGGCGTTCTATTCATTCTTATCAGCATCGCCAGTAGACGTACAAACTGGTTTCTTCTTCGATTTGTGTTAGGAGTTCAGCGGGAAAAGAAGAAACAGCCGCTATACGTAGTTCCTTGTGCCAATTGTGGAAAAATTATTATTGCAACCGAACCAAAAAACAAAGACAAACAAGTCTCACAGCACTCAAGGGATCACGATGATCCTAACAAAACTATAAGTGCTCGTGAGAAACGAAACCCTCTAAAACCTGACTCAACACAACTAGCCGAGTGTCATTTATGCAAAAACAAAAACGATTCTACTACTGGACAGGAAGACACATCAAAATTGGATAAGTATCTCTATATCGAGTTCGGGGAGGAAGAGCAAGATGTTCCTGAACTGAGATGTTTTGCGCGCTTTCTGAGCGATTTTCTAGTTGCCGCTATTCTTGACATCTTTGTCTTTATCATATATTCGAACTTGATCTTATCAAATGCCTTCGTAAATAACGGTGGTAATTGTCCTTCATATTCTGCAGAGTGTTTCGCTTTGAGCGGTCCTTACGTTGACAAGCCATACAATTGTAGTAACGGGCAAAATGTCAATATCACAGATTACAAAGACAATGCATGGTGCTTCGGATGGGTTTCTGACAACATAAGTACTAAGGATGTACTTGACACGCTCGGCACATGTGGTGGGTTGCTTGCTATAATGTCC